TAAACACCTATAAACAATTATTTATTGTTTTCAATATTATTATTATTATTTATAAATACACGCCTTATAATCTAGCTGATGTTTTAGCTACTTTTGACTGTCCTTTTGGTTGCCATTTTATTTTAATTTATAAAAAGAAAAAAATTAAAATTTGTATTCCTCTTTTATGATTTGTTTATCGTTGTCCACTGTTGTCATCGCTCTGTTAATCAAATCAGGTCTCTGTTGTAAGTGCCTGAGGCTCAATGGGATTAACCTGTATAACTAAAGGTTGAATGAATGTTTACTTGAAATTGAAATTATAGTAAAGTTGTGTCTCAGCTGAACTTTTACTTCATAAATGCACTTTAATGGTCAAATGAGCTGCATTTTGTCGGGACGGTGCAGCTGCTTCGACGGTTCCAAGACAAAAACAATTAAAAAAGATCCAGAGTTTGTTTCTTGTCATTCACGCCACATGTGCACATCATTAACTTCATCCCTTCTGAGTTTGCAGGTATGAATTATTTACTGCCTGGCCAAAAAAAAAAAAAAGGTTGCACTAATATTTGGTTGGACCACCTTTATCTTTGATCACATCATGCATTCACTGTGTCATTGTTTCAATAAACTTCTACAATGTCACAAGATCTGTTTCATCCAGTGTTGCGTTAATGTTTCACCAAGATCTTTCATTGATGATGATGCACCATCACTCTGGAACAGGGTCAGTCTGGACTCATCAGACCACATGACCTTTTCCATTGCTCCACAGTCCAATCTTTATGCTCACTAGAAAATTGAAGCCTTTTTTCCAGTTGGCCTCACTGGTTAGTTTTCATTCGACCTTTATTTAGACAGGTTAATCCCATTGAGCCTCGAGGCCTCATTTTACAAGAGAGACCTGATTTCAACAAAGAAAGATGACAACAGGGACAACAATAAACAGTTATAAAAAGACATACAAAATTATTATTATTTTAACAAATAGGTTGGCTAAAAAAAAAAGAAGTAACAAAAACCAGCTACATTCTAAGGTGAATGTATAAAAACGGGAACCATTAGTGGTTTTCTTAAGACTCCATCTGTTCAGTCCCAGTCCCTTGAGTTCCTTCACATTGTGTGTGTGGAAATGTTCTTACTGTCTCTGTTAACCACAGCTCGAGTGCTGCTGGTGTTCTTCTTCCATTTGATTTCAACAAACGTTTCAACGATCACCATCATTCAGGATTTATTTCTGGCCACATTTCTCCCTGGAAGACGAGTCCCCACCGTCCTTCCAGTTTTTAATAATGTGTTGGGACAGTTCTTAACCCAGTTTTAGTTTCTACAATCTCCTGAGATGTTTCCTCTGCTTGATGCCAATGATTTGACCCTTCTCAAACAGACTGACATCTTCTCCACGACCACCACGAGTCTTTCTTCATGTTGTTGAAGAAATGAGAAGCAACTCTTTGCACCAGTTGGAGTTAAATAACTTGTTGCAGCTGAAACATAATCGTCCGTGCAGTGATGATCCAGCAGGAGGCTCGGACCTGTTTGAGTTAAATCCAGGTGGAGACTTTATTTTGACCAGGCAGTGTATTTTGTTCATTTCGACTTTAGTGCACGCACATCTGGAGCCCAAGTTTTCTCAACAGTCATCTTAAATTCTACTGAAGTTGCTATTTTTTCCACAACAATGTTTCTGTCGTGAATTTAAGGAATTGGTTAACTTTGCATATATCAAGCTAAAATGTCTGCATCTTTTTTTTTTATTATTTCCAGGTGGTCAATGTGTCGGCAGAGTGTCAGCAGCTGATGTTTGTGGTAAGTTATTTGTTGTTGGTGAATGCAGCAGCACTGATGTATCTGCAGCCAGCTGCTCATCGGCTGGTTTGTTCAAATGCCGGTGCTAAAGAACGTCAGCATCCGACATCGTTGGTCTCCTTTCTGTCCGTGTTCGGAGTCCCCGTAAACGAGCTGAAACATGCATTTAAACATTTTGTTTAAGGTTAATTGGTGAATAGGAGGAATCAATCCCAATTCTCTTGTGTTTCTGCTGCTGCAGAGACGACCTCCTGACCCGAAGCTTCTGCAGGAAGATGACAGAAGAAATGCCTGCAGGTGACTGGATTAATAATCTGGTAATAATTAATTAATAGCTGGATTAATAATAAACATATTAATAATAATTAATAATCTGTTGGAGACGATTGTCAGACCTTCGTTGCAGAACATCACAGTCAAGCCTTTTGTGCTGCAACAGAACTCTGATGGGATGTAAAAATAAATGAAGTAAAATATTTGCCATATTTTCCGCCGTACACGTAACTTCTCCCTGTAAGTTGCGTCAGACCAAATATGTCTAAAAGTGGATAAATCCATAAATGCATCACTACCCCGTACACGTAACTTCTCCCTGTAAGTTGCGTCAGACCAAATATGTCTAATAAAGTGGAAAAATCCATAAATACATCTCTACCCCGTACACGTTGCATCTAATGCGTCACCGCTGACAACCCAAAATGTGGACCGGTGTTGTGCCAAAAATGAATTTGACTGCCAGATTGGCTGCGGGAGCGTGCACGGAGGATTTTAACAAGATAACCACCTAAACAAATAATTTGTTTGCTCGACATTATAGTAAAGTTGTCTCAGTTGAACTTCTAGTTGATAAATGCACTTTAATAATCAAATCAGCTGCATTTCACCGGGGCGGTGCAGAGAAATGAAGCTGATTTGACGATTGCTCCAGGTGTGCTGGACAAAGGTGCCATGGTATGGCAAGCCGATTGTGTCATTAATAGCCATGCTATTAATTCAGTTGAGTTTATTTGTATAGCATCAAATCACAACAAAGTTGTCTCGGGGCACTTTACAGAAACATTCACATGCATGAAAAAGCCAATTTGTAAAGTTATCCATGTAAGGAATCCAGCAGACAAGTTATTACATACTATAACAGCATGCCATACAACTCGGGTGCCATCTAGAGGCTGAAAATGGTAGTGTTCAATATTTTCAGTCAGGATGAATGAAAACGGTCAGATCTCAACCAAAAAGTGGTTTATAAATATGGAAAAAATCCATAAATACGTTGCTTTGGCGAATAAGTCGCAGGGAATTTAAATTATGCAACAAACTGTGACATTAAAGGGCAAAAAATATGGTTTTATAGAGACAGTTTACAGAAGGCGTTGTTCTGTCGGCACAGTTTGAGCTCTGGTTCTGTCCGGTGGACCACAGAGCTCCTACAGTGCAAAGAGTAATTATTTCTCCTGCAACCCACTGCTGCCAACCCTCTGTAGCAGTGTTACTAATGAGAAGTGACAACTGGAAGACGTAAAATATCTTTAGTTCATTGAAAAGTTGCTGGTCTTAAACCTTTAACTTGTCTTCCAGGTGCTGGAGGTGAGCTCTGGCCTTCTTGGTAAGTCATGTTTTATTTATGTGACCAGGTGATGTAAGAGTTATGATGAATGGCTGAAAATGTTCAACTGCTCTGAAGTGTGAGTGACAGCTGCCTGTCTGAACAACCTGCTGCTCTCAGA